TCTCAGTCCAGCGTGTGCAGAACATCCTGCGGGGACATCCCCATCAAGTATCCCTTCGGCATCGACGACGGATGCGGAAGCCCATACTACAGACACCTTTTTGCATGTTCCAACTCGGGAAAACTCGAACTCAGAACCCCTTCGGGAAGATACCCGGTTCGCAACGTTAGCTACGCTGATCCACACGTTGTGGTGACCGATCCCTTCATGTGGAGCTGCGAGGATGGTGAGAGGTTTCGTCCCACTAGACCCTTCAGCTTGGACAGCAGCACCCACTTCAAGCTCTCTCCTCAGAACGAGTACATGTTTTTCAACTGCAGTGAGGACAACGTCATCATTCAGCCCAAGCCCATGTTCTGCGAGCACTTCCCTGAACACTGTGACTCTTCCTGTGACAGTGCTAGCTATCTGTGCAGACACTTGCCTGGGTGCTCCTTTGCGCTCCCTCGCAGTACTTGTTGTTCGTACTATCCCAAAGCCACCGAGTCTCTTAGGTTGATGCTTAAGTATTGCACCAGTTATGCTAGCGTTTATTGGAAGAACGTTGGTGCTCCTATGTCTGATGATCAGGTTCCGGAATATGGTATCAGAATTGATTTTGATATACCTGTTACCACGCGCTGCCTTCAGTGCCAGGATCCGTTGAAAGGAGCTGGAATTTGTGGATTTGACACGCGGAACCAGAGCTTCATGTGTCTTTGTAAGGATGGAAACTCCACAACTCATTGCAAAGGTATGTTCAAGTTCAATAATATTTTAAGATTATACTCATCATTTGTTTCTTCACTATTATACAGCACAAAACCACCACCTATAATCAAATTAACTACCAAGTTTTAGTCCTCAAATGGCCTTATCAATACACATCGATTGGCTGTTAATTTGTTATGTTTTTGTCTCAAATGTTCAAGTTTTAAACTTTTCACAGACAAATGATTGGGTTTTAAGTGTTTCAATTTTACTTTAGTGTGTAATAGGCTATTGGTTGTTTGACAGATTTTGACATTGCAAGGCACAATAGGAGGGTCCATGTAATAGCAGGTACAGAGATTAAAAACGGTTGATAGAGATATAATTAATGTGAGATTTTGAAGTGGATGATTAGGCTTATGTTTGGAATTGCGGCTGCAGGGACAGTTACGGGCGTTTCCGTTGCCGGTGCATTTGGAATTGGAGCTGCTGTTTGGTACTTGAAGAAAGTGAGAGCTAAAGCACCAGTCACATGTGGTGTCCAAAGCAACGAAAATAGGCTATTCTGAAGAAAACCAAATGATGTGAACAAGACAACATCTGTCTTTTGTTACTTTTTCATTGTGTTTATTTATTTATATATACCACTATTATACAGTCATAGAATTGGGTCCCAATTTTTCCGAGTTTGATATGGTCTTCTTTACTAATGTCGGTTTTATGTATATATAGTCTATTAGAGAGAAAGTACTCTGCTGGAGAATCATATCCTTTACACTTTTTCTTACAATAATCCTTACGAAACGAATCTAGCATGTGTCACAATTCTGCAAAGGAGTTAATTGGCCTACTCTGATACATGACTCCAAATCGAGTCTTCGGGAATCAACCAAAACAAGAAAAGCGAGAGAGAAACATACAAATGCAGCATGCAAGACAAAACTAGCACGGTTTACCAACAACACAAGTTAGGGGACCTGCGTTTAGAGTTATAGAAGGCACCAATGAAGCAGGTGCAGCGGTAAAAGATTGAGAAGGTGAATAGTTTGGGTCACAACTTCCATAGCCTGATGGAACAAAATAAGCACCGTTTAGGAATGCATCCTTAGAAGACCTCCATTTCCAACTCTTCAATTTTCCCTTCATTTCCCTTTTGGTAACCTGTCATCAAAAGCCAATTCAATTTGTACTGGCATGTATTAATGGCATAGGGTGTTTCATTTCATGTTACTTTGATTATATCCTTTTCCTTACCTGTTTTGAAGCAGGGTTATTCGGAGCTACATAGTAGTTTGCTTCACTTAGAATGGTTGGGTTAGAACTCCCCCCTATGGCATACATCTTCCACCCATCATATTTGTTGTTCACCACATGGGCATAACCAAATCTCACCCTGAATGAATACAAACAAGTTAATAGATATACCTTTTTTAAACCCGTTCTTTGGAAATTCAATCTATAAAATACACTCTCACCTTGGCATCCTCTCAATTAGACCACTACCAAATCGGTTGAAGGCAATTGTTACTTTCATTATTTTATCTGCTGTGTATTCATCGCTGTGTCCTAGCAGCATAACCTGCAGTCAAGGAATCTTTAGTCAACAATACGTACATAAGAAAAAGATACTCCATATATAATGAAAGGGGTGATGATATCGGAAGTTACTAATAACGTTTTAAGGTCAATCTACCTAGATTAAGGGACATTTATAGCAGTGTAGTGTTGAATGATATTGTTTTTTTTTGGTAAGAATGGCAATGCTTACTTTGTCATGCTGGGTAAAGTAATTGTTAGAAATGGTAATCGCAGTTGAGGCACGAATAACGTCAATCAAGCCATCAACACAACGAGCCAAAAAACAGTGATCAATCCAAACATTTGAGGAGGCAAATATGCTAATGGCATCTCCATCAGAGCCACGGCGATGACCAACATGAGACGTGGTGCTCATTACAAGACCAGCTTTGCCTGGTCTGCAATCATGGATGCTAATTCCATGTATGATAACATGGCTAACACCTTGTATTGTAATGCAGGGGCCATTAGCAATCTCCACTTTAGCACCTCTTCCATCAATGGTCTTGTAGCTATTCATGATAAGCTCGTTCTTGAGCTGAATAGTCATATCTTTGGCAAAAATGATCCAAAGGGGTTGTGTTTGGACCACAGCATGACGAAGTGTGCCTGCTTTTGGTTTTATGGGATCATCAGAGGGATCTGTGACTTGATATATTGCTCCATATTTGCCTCCAATGGCATCACTTCCAAAGCCAATGGCACAATCAGCCAAGGCTTGGCGATTTGATGCCCAATTGGATTTGGCAAGCCTGCATGAGTCTATCTTGTTCAGGACTGCAGCTTGTGATGAAGATGCAAGGTTTAGTATGAAGCATGAAAGCAAGAGGAATAAGGAAGAGGTGGCCATGCTTCAAAGCCTGAGACAACCAATATTGGAGTGAGTTCTATTAATAGATGTTTGATGAGGTTCTGCATTCACTTTAGAGTTTTGACTTTTAATTTCTCTGCTTTTGTTAATCGAGCTAACCAAAACGTGGATGCACGAGTGCTGCTTCTTTGACTCTGCTAATTGCCGATTACCATCTAAAATTCCACTCAAGGATGACAAAAATGCAAATCGAATGCTTTAAATTTTATTCTACACTGATTAAATTTCTGAATGTACCAAATTATTTAGTCTTTGACTTTCACAAATATATTTCAATTAAGTATATCTTAATGAGATTGCTCGTTTAGTTCGACCACTAACATTATAAAATTAATTTCCCTGGAAAAAATTTGTAAAACTAATGATTTTAGTCACTAATTTGATCATAATTAATTATTAATTGGGTAGTGATGATGAAGCACAAAAACATTGGGAACGAAATTTAATAATATGCACCAAAGCGTAACCAAAAACACTAATAGTTTGCAAAAGAAATATATTAAGGCTTTCGTTTTGTAAACTATTATAAATATTTGTTTTACTTTTAAAATAAATTATAAAGTATTTAATTTCTGTATTATGTGAAAGTTATGTAAAGTATTTTTTTAAAACAAATAACGTATAAAAATTATATTACAGTGAACTGTTAAATTTCAAGATTTAAATAAATATATAATAGCATCACTAAATGTAACACATTACTTAAAAAATAATAAATAATTTGGATTTTCTTCCAAAGAAAAATAAATATACTGTATTAAAAAAGTTGACTTTAATCCTTTTTTAATAATTTAAATGGTTTTTCTTTACATTAAGTATTTTGGCTAGACTGGCTCTCTTATATTTTTTATCCGATAGGTCAGTTGGATTCAATTTTCAGATTATTAATACAAGCTAGTAAGTTATAATGTGTAACTAAAAAGAACAAGTATGTATATATATATATATATATATATATATATATATATATATATTTGAAAATGTATCGATATTATAACTCGTTACNTATATATATATATATATATATATATATATATATATATATTTGAAAATGTATCGATATTATAACTCGTTACTAAATCAATACATAATTTCTTTTCTGTTCAAATGTTGAGGTTTACTGTTAGGAGAAATCATATAATCAATGTAATTGATTCCCTTCTTCCAATAATATTAATGTTTTCAAACTTATTTCCCGAACCCCTTCTTTCTTCTTAGTTAATCTGATTTCTTACGTTCAATTAAATTATTTATTTGTTTGGACGAGTATCTTAATAAAATGAGTTTCTTCATAAATTATAATTAACTTATATATAACTTTATAAAAATTCACTCGTTTAAATTATTTGAATTTTTATTTTTAATTTATATATAATTAAAATTAATTTATATACAAACTAATTTGTAAAAGTTTTTATATAATTTTTCTCAATTTATATTATTAATTATGCACACTCTAATTTTAACTTATACAAAATTCATTTCATTTTATTCTTGTTTATTTTAAATTATGCACATCCTATGTCATAGTTTGGTATTGATCCGTTTCAAATATACAGAACAATAAAATAGTAATATTTAATTATAATAATAGGATTGTAAATATATTTTTATTCAATAAATTTTATCAAGTTAGTTTTTATTTAACTTATTTACCTACCCGCGCTCTAAAATCTAATAATTAGGAATTATGGTTTCAATATATTTACATCTTATTATCTTGATTTGGAAACTGCAAAAGTCTTAATGGCTTCCACGAGCTATTAGTTTATTATATGGCAGGGATTATAGCACTAAATAACTTGCTGAAATTAAGACTATAATATACAATTATTTAAATAAAGAACATAAGATAATTATAATAATAGAAAATGATCCAGATGCACCATGCTAGGGTTGCACCAACATTTTCACACTCTGCTGCTATTGTATAAAAATGACTGAATTCAAGAAACAAAATCATGAAAATAAATAAAGAAAAGAGGTAATTAACAAGCTTTGTGAAGAACACAGTTGAGTGGCCCTGCATTGAGAGTTAAGAAGGGCACCATGGATGCCTGGGTGGCTGTGAAAGTTTGAGCAGATGAATACAATGGGCTGCAACTTCCATACCCAGATGGCACAAAATAAGCACCATTTAAGAATTCATCTCCATAACTCCTCCATTTCCAATTATTCCACTTTTCACTACTTTCCCTCTTCGTAACCTATCATCAACGGATCAACTGTTACTTTCAAATAAACAAAAATATTCAATCATTCTTTTCTTTTTCAAAGTAAAGCCTAAAAAATTTATAAGATTTTTCATACACGTCTTATAAATGGTGTGTTCCTGTGTCTATGAAATATAATAAAGAAAAGAAACATCAACCACATTCACTAAAAACGCTTAGTTACCTGTTTTGCAGCAGAATCATCTGAAGCCGTAAAATAGTTGCCTTCACTGAAAATGGTAGGGTCGGCACTGCCACCAATGGCATACATCTGCCACTCGTCATACCGGTTGTTCACCACATGGGCATAACCAAACCTCACCCTGCATGCATTTCATCATCCAAATAACTAAATATATCAATATTAATTTAAGGAAATGAACAAAAATAAATAAATTCAAACCATTCTTTTACCTTGGCATTCTTTCTATTAAGTCACTGCCAAAGTGGTTAAAAGCTACTGTTACTTTCATTACTTTATCCGCGCTGTATTCATCGCTGTGCCCTAGCAGCATCACCTGCAAGGAGTGCATACAACAAACGATCCTTAATATCAGCCTCTGGATACAAATTATGCAAAGTTTCTTAAGTGAACAAACCCTATTTTAAACACAAAAAGCTGTTAGAAATTCTTCTATTAACTCTTTCTATGTTATTGGTAAAGTAGTTATTGGTTATACATGATGAAAAAGAAAAGATGTTTTTCATATTTCTTACTTTGTCGTGGTGGGTGAAGTAATTGTTAGAGATGGTGACTGCAGTTGAGGCATGAATAACATCAATGAGACCATCGGTGCAACGAGCCAAAAAGCAATGGTCAATCCACACATTGGAGGAGGCAAATATGCTGATGGCATCTCCATCGGAGCCTTCACGATACCCAACATGCTCAGGAGTGCTCCTAACCATGCCACCATCACCAGGCTTACAATCATGAATGCTGATTCCATGTATGATTACATGGCTAACACCTTGTATAGTAATGCAAGCCCCGTTTGCAATCTCCACTTTGGCTCCTCTCCCGTCAATGCTTTTGTAGCTATTCACCATCAGCTCATTCTTCAGCGAGATAACCATGTCCTTGGCGAAAGTTATCCAAAGGGGTTCTGTTTGGATTGCACCATAACGAAGTGTGCCAGGTTTTGGGTCTACAGGGTCATCAGAAGGATCGGTGACTTCATATACATCACCAAACTTTCCTCCTATGGCATCTTTGCCAAAGCCAATTGCACAATCCGCCAAGGATTGGCGATTAGAAGCCCAATTCGTTTTTCCTCGCCAACATGAATCTATTGTGTTCATCACAACATTCTTAGGGCTGCTCTCGGTGATATAGCTTGGAATGGGAGAGAGGGCATCGAACTCCTTTGTTGAATCTCTGTTATTCAGTGGTGAAGCTAAAGTGAGCAGAGAGCATGCTGAGAGCATTAGGAGAATGGTTAAAGTGGCCATAGCTTGAGAATTTGATCGCTGGCGAAAGGGTGATGGAGTTATAAATATGGATGGCAAATAGAAGAGTAAATCAAGAAGGTGGTGCACACGATTTGAAGAATGAATTGCTTGATTTGAGAGTTACTCGTAGGAATTGATTGGTGTAGATTAATCCAACAAAGACGTGGGTTGGTTGACTAATGATTGCAATCTATGGTTATATAGCTGCTAAACAGTGACAACACATTCATGAATCTTGTGCATCTATGATTGTAGAACCAAAATTACCAATTCAACGGATGGGGTTATGTTGTATATAATAAGTTAGTGGTGGACTGTGTTCAATGAAACATGCTCGCCATATACACAACGATTGAATAAACAAGATACATTGACAGATTATAGCATATCCTCGTGACAAGATCAAATGAAACTTTAGGTGTCAACCTTAGTAAACAGATTTTTTATTTACTTTTGACAACAAATAATTTTAATCAATGTAAACATTCTTCCATATGTGTGTATATATATAATCATTGAATATTTTTCCATTGTCTTACCAATCATCTTCATTAAATTTTATATAAATTACATATCTATAACAGATTAATCTTAGGTAAAATTCACTTATAATTAGGAAATTATCATATATAATAACTTATTTTTAATATAGTATTAAATATTTTTCAATAAAATATTTTAATTTAATGGTTAGATTGTAATTTAACATTTGCGAACTTATTACAAGACTCCAGTTAGAAGTAATTAATGATATATGTTCTATTTTATAAGACTCAATCCATAATATCTCTTGTATTAATTACTTTTTGTAAAATATATTTAGTTCTGAGATAAACTTCAATAAATAGTAAATTAAATATATTTATGTATGAAAGTGTAACTTCTTTTCTATCAAATTTATTTTTGAAAAGATTATGTTAACAATTTCTATGCACAGTCACCAAATATAACAAACTTCAACAATTGGATTGATGGAATTAGCATTTTATAAAAAAAAATAGTAAATATTTAATTTGACCAAGTTTTACATTTGGTCTAAACAGGTCCTAGCTCTCCATATATTACATTATTGGTAAAAACAATTAAAAACTAAGATATGTTTCATTTGTCATAAATATTTATAGCAATACTTACCAAGTTTCATGGAAATTAAAAAGGAACATGGTATTTCTACTATAAATTTTAATTATTTATCGCATTATGTGAACAAATAAGAGTAGTGGGACATTTTTATCACATTGATATTTTTTAATTTCAAAAAGTTAGATTCCAACTTCCCATATGAGAACAATTTTGAAAAAAACTTGATTTTCTCAAAAAGGTTATTTTAAAATATAAACAAAGCATTAGAAATTTCAACTTTAGATTCCTCGAAAACTAAAATGTTTTTGTGTACCAGGCATCCATAAATATGAAAGGAACATATATATAGAGAGAGAAAGAGACTTAAACTAATAATAATTATCCGATTAAAATTAAAAACGATAAATTGTTAAGGTAAAAATACTTACACTTATTAAATAATTTGCGCCATCTATGATGAACACTATTTTATAATATGATAAATTAGAAATCGTGGAAAACAGTTAATAATAATAAAAAGTTACAAAGCACACAGTGCTAGCTATAGGAAAATGCTAGCTATAGGAAAAACCAGTACAATTGGTAGCATTCAAAATTTGAAAATTAAGAAGAATCCAATTGTTACTTCTAGGTGATGAATGTATGAATTGTGGTTATGATGTCAAAATGGTAAGATACGTTTCACCTTGTATTATTCCCTCGAGTATGGCACAATATTTTGCAAGTGCCGAATTGTTTTACATAAATAATTAATATTTGATTGTCTTCAAGAAGAGTTTCGACATGTACGAGACTGTCAAAAACTGATGCCGATACCCTTTAGAGTAATGTTAACTCGTATTTGCTCTCGTTGCAAAGCAATTCAAGCAAATCCAGTCCCTAAATTTTGAGTACATTAACCAATACTTTGATTTTTACTAGTAAATATCACGGTCTTAATGGTCATTTTATGATTATATGAAACTAATGTATTCATTTTAGGGATCTCATTTCGAAACTAATAAAACAAAAAATAAAACTTCAAAAATATTTTTTAAAAATGTCCAGCGAGAACAATAGGCAGCAGAGCCGTGTTGAGAGAGCCTTGGACATGAGAAGCCAAAAAGCTAAAGGGTAAGAATAAAAGATTATTATATCCAATCCATGGCCATATATATAAAAATAATTACAACTTTTTCCCAAAATACAGCACTACTATTATGTACATTGTCATTGGGAATGCTTCCTTCCACCTCTAATACTATTTTCTATTTTCGGTCTTATTGACGTTTACTCGTTATTATCAATAAAAGAAATCACACCAGGCCCTTGGACTTTAATAGGTGAAGGAAACTATAAAGAAGAAAATGAAGTATCAATATTTGAATCAAGTGCTACTTCACCAAGCGTGTGCACAAGCAGCAACTTCGGAAATAGGATATGCTAAAACTGTCTATAATAAGTCAATGAGGGATTTAAATTTTAGTCATTGTTGTATAAATTTTCCCACGAGGATTATATTTGAATTTCAAATGCATACTTTTTGCCATTCAATGCCTTTCACCAGAAAAACTTGCAACGAAAACCAATGCCCCTTTCCACACCAATATTGGCAACCTGAGGAGGGCAGAAGCATGAACAGAAGGCACTTCTTTATCACCTTGATTTCTACTGGGGTATTTTAGGCATAAACCTACAAGTTGAATACTTGATTGCATCTTTTCGGTTGATGGTTGATAATCGAGGTCTACCCATAGTGCAAGGAATAAATACAGACAAAGCATGTCACTAAATAACTATTCTACTCACAAACTCACTTCAAAACTCAGTTCTCTCTACGCAACAATGATAATGGCAGTCCTGGATACGAAAATAAAAAAGACAGTAGTAATTTATCAGCATGTGAGCTTCAAATTTACGTTCAATTAGTGATCATTTTAAACTGGAATCTGGATAGCTGCTGAGGAATGGTGGATATAACTGGACCGTATCTCTGCAAACAAATGATACACAAAATTCATAAGAAACGGAAAAAAGTTTAACATATTTTGACTGACAAGCATACCTATGTGGATAAGTTTAAAAATTAATACCATGATCAGTCTGTAGATGAAAACTTCGAACATATGCCCAAAAAAATAAAACATTTGAGATGGGTCCTATAATCTCCCAAATCAATTGAAAGCATCCCCTTACTTGAAATAGTTTCAGTTATTACACGTTGTTTTCCATTGGACAACCAATGATAATGAAGAATTCTTCAAATTATAAACAGTTCATTCAACAATCCAGTAACGGAAAAGAACTATAACACCATACCTGAACATTGTCATAGAGTTCAAACAATGGCACAGCTAGTAGTTTTAAATTTTTGGGCACTGCAAAGTATTCCCTTTCAGATAAGTGAACAAGGAAAAGTTTTTTGCACTCCTGCATACAAGATATTCAGTGGTATTATTGTAAGCACAGACCAACTAACCAACTAACCAAGGGAACCAGGAATCCAATGTATTAATGTCATTCTTTCCCAAAATTACCTTGGGTTTTGTGATATGAGGAGGGCATTATGGATACATTATGGTTTCAAAATTACCTTGGGTTTTGTGATATGAGGAGGGCAGTATGGATACATTATGGTTTCAAAATTTGGCCTCCACCAGATTGCAACACACTCACCTATCTGAAGTTTTCAAGAAATAAATGCAAATGAGCAACAAAAAACATGTGGATTGTCACAGAATGGCAAATTTAACATGGCTCTCCAAAGTACATGAGTAAAGAGTAAGTAATAATACCTGCCAGTCAGGCACAAGAGCTGGTGAATTAGCACCAAGCTTGCTAGTCAACTTTCTCTTCAAGCCCTCAATTTCTGTAAACAGCATTAAATAACCCCAAAAACAAGTAAATAAGCATAATCACAAGCTTCTATTTTCAAACTATCCAGTTCGCAATACAGAAGATAGCTTACCATTCTCTCCTGGTTTGAGACGACCACCCGGGAGTTTGCAAAATGTGTTTCCAATTTGCAGAAGAAGTATATGTGGATGATTATGTTCTTGAACCTGCAACATTGAAGGCATAAAGATGAGATAGGACACACGATCTTAAAGGAAATTAGATGAAACTCTTTTCTTATGAAAGTAATGCCATAGATGAGAGAATTAACAAGAACCCAGTGGGAAACCGTATTATAGGAATAAGTAATTGAAAAAGTAAAAATCTAAGTGTAGATGATGAATTCAACGCAGAACTAATCAGCTGTAAGTAAAGGATCCCACCAAAAGAGGATCAATTTTTTCTCCACCTAGATGGATATTTATGGTCTTAGTGAGCCAAAGTTCCAAAGGGGGGTGGTATGTACATGAAACTCTCATAATGTGGGGTTGGGGAAGGTCAAATATGTACACAACTTCATCCCCGTGACCAGAGAGGATGTCTCCATGATTAGACCTAATAACTACGAGGTCAACTAGAGAAACACTTAAATGCAATTTTATAGATCTACTGATATAGTCAATTAGCTTCAAATGTTCAACAATATTAAAGTTGCACAGGGGGAGTAGATTATATAACAGTGGAACGTCTCTTCAGTTTAGATAATTACGCATCCAATTATTGACATACTAATCTTACTAATCTCATAATTTCACCTGAGTTATTGAATTCAATTAACACACTTCACAAGTATAATCAAATCCCAACCAACATTAGCTCCAACAATAGAACACTGTAAAAAGATCTAAACATCTATATTGTCCTGTACCTACTGCACAATCTCTCCCCCATCCAAAAAAATCTTAAATCAAAACCCCTAAAACCAGGTAGAAGATGACACCATATGTCATACACTGTTTTTCAATTTAATACAAATAATTTTGTGACCAACCATAGATTTATCCAACAAGTATTCAACACTGGCTCCTAGTCTAGTAGCCAACTTGAAAAGATGAGTACCATGCATATGCTATGGTCACTTTCAATTTAAACAATTGCCTTCAACTTGGCCCCTATACTAAAAGTAAATCTCATGGTGTCATAATAACAACAGATTTATTAGAAGAAAGCAGGCAAACATTGTACAAACACAAAATAACCAGATAAAAAATTAGT